GCCCCATCACATTTAAAAGCCATTCCATTGGCAAGAAAAGCAGAAAGGAACAGCTCAATTCTTCAATGCACTGGTTTTCTGAAACATCGGTAGTAGCTTCTTCTGCTCCCTCGTCCCCACACATAGCCAGGTGTACAAGGGACCAGAACGGGGTCTTTCATGTATTTTTTTCAGATAATTTTATGTTTTACATCATTCCTGAACATTCAATTTGCTGGAACAAGAATTTAGAAGACTGGGTGACAAAGGAAACCCTTTTAGTTCATAGCGGCATCAAGGCAAGACTCCAATTTTTTTCGCAAATCTTTTTCAACTTTGGCATGGCGCCTTCTAAAAGCGCGGTCGTCGCTTTCATTCGGGGTATTTGGTCTCTTTTGTCTGGTGTTTCTTTTTGGTCTGTTTTATTTGGGCACTTATCTTCTAACCCGAAATCCCAATGCGCTTGGATATTGGGGATAAAGTGGCATCATTAAATCCTCCTGGGTTTGGGTTAGCTCGCAGCATCGACTCAAATATGATGCTTGTCTAGCAACATGCAATCAAAACTGCATTTATTTAGGATTGGTTTAGCCGTTCTATTTATCCGTGTTATCAAATTTGAATTAATTTTGGAACGGACGTGAAGAAAGGACGTGAAGAAAGGACGTGAAGAAAGGACGTGTCAAACCAAAAGTTTGCCAAAAGCTTATTAAAACCGACAAAAAATTTACTAAAATGTCATATTTTCAGTTTAATTAAATTAATGGCCACTTTGGACATGCATGTTGCGTTCTTGATTCGTATCAGCTTGATTGGCATCAGTCATTAATCTCAAAGCAATTCCAAAACAAGGAAGAAGATTCCACCCACTACAGTCCAAACAAGGCCAGTGTGGCGAGCAGAGGCTGAATTGCCATCAATTTTAGGCAAGCTTTCACCTTTGATCGCATTTGCTTCAACACTCGTTAAAACTTCAAGATTACCATCCTGAGACGCAAGTGTTGTTGATCGACTTGAGCTATCCTTTTTTCCGCGTTTACATGATTTTGATACACTACCCA